ATTACATTGAACAAATATTGGAATTGAACCTGTAGATGTAGGTCAGTACTTTTGATGGCGTACACAGGCACGCGTACACGCGCACACTAACGCGCCCACTAACGCACTTCCTAGAATTGAACCTGTAGATGTCGGTCAGTACTTCTGATGGCGTACACAGGCAGGCGCACGTGCACGCGCACACTAACGCGCCCACTAACGCACTTCCTCACAAATTCTACTCCCGAGTGTACGTGTGCGTGCGTGTGTACGTTTGTGTGTGTGCGTGTGTGTGTGTGTGTGAGAGCCGGTTCTCAGGCCCACCGGTACTTCCTCCTCTTCTTCTTGTTCTCCTTCTCGTTCTTCTTTTGTCGTTTGTTCCCCGGCGCAGCTGCTGAGCAGACAGGAAACAGATGCTCACAGCGTCGCTCTTCCATTTCTCTTTCCCGCCTCTCTCCTTTTTCCCCCACCTTCATTCTCTTCACTTCCTCCTTTTCTCACCATCTTTCTCCCTTTCCATTCTGCTGGAAGACAAAACTTCCATTTCTCCTTGTTTATTCATCGTCTTTCCGTTTTTGCACTTCTTCCGGTCTTTGGATGTTAGCGAGGTGTTCCGAATACAGTGACAAGGTCGGACTACATAAACGAAGAGGAAGAAAAGAAATTGAGTGACAATGTGACGCAGGGTGAATGAAGGAAAATCCCCGTCCAGAACACAGGCTCTGTAACAGAGTGTGTCGCTGCCTAGTGGTTAAAATTAGAACTGCGTCACCTATCACAACGACAAAAAACGCATTTATTTTTCTTCAACGGTAATTTTTGTGTTTGTTATAGTCAATCAGCTACGATTGCAGCATGTTAGTCATTTTTCAGGATTTATTTTGGATCCCCAAAACAGGATAATGGACAATCACAGTAACATCATGAAAACTGAATGTTTAAAACTTCATAAGCCTGTCCTGGTTTTTTAACTAACCCCTTTCATACAGTCTATATCCTGCCAAATTCACCGATCGCTTTCAAAAGCATCTATCCCATATCGGTGACACGAGACAAAAAAAAAAGACTTTCTACTAACACATAGTAAACCTTGAAAGTGCGTGGAGGTCAACGGCGATTGGCCGCAGGTGGCAGGAGGCCCCGCCCTCTTTATCGCTGACCTCTGTCAGGGTTTTTTTAACGGCGTGGTGGCCGGGTCACGGCCGGGTCGCCTCACAGGCCTTAACGACTTCCTCCCATCCCAATAAAGACGAGATGTGTTGTGATGTGTCGTGATGAATGAGAGCGGCGCTGTCCGATGACCAGCAGGTAACCCCGAACACGGCAAAGCTGAGGATGAAGATGACAAAAGAGGAAAATTCCGAATTTAAAGGTTTTCATTTTCATCCCATAAAAACCTTCTCTCAGCAATTTTTTGTTTAATTCTGAAAAAAAATACAAACATTTTTAGAGTTCCTTTGTATCTTTTTTTGGTATTTAAATCCAATAGAGCATTTATCTCCAAAATTTGGTGAGTTTTGTTTTCACAAGAAATGAGCATGCAAATTCAAATGATTTTATTTTAGTCTTATCTGAAAAACATCTCAAAATTTTTACATCATTTTAGTTTTTACAAGTAAAGCATGTATCTAAAATTTTGTCAATAGTTGTTGTTTCTATGTAAAAAAAAATCTCTTCAAAATATTTTTGCATTACGATCATAAATACATGCATAGACAAGTTTTTATGTTTTTTTGGTTTTTATTTTAATAAAACGACCTGAACTTTTCTGAAATATATTTGTACTTTTTGAGATGAAAAACCATGTATCACATAATTGTTATAGATATGTTGGTGTTTTACAAAAAAATTGTCTTAATATTTTTAGATATACTTTTTATTTTTACCACCCCAAAAAACCTTCTTTTTTGTCTATATTATTTGCTTTTATCCACAAAACGGGTATCTTTTTATTTTTATGTTTCATTCCAAAAGCACATGCAACATTTTTTCACACGTACGTATATTTATCCGAAAATGCATGGATCTCCAAAATGTTGCTATGAACTACGAAAAAAACCAAAAATATGGCATGTAACAGCATTTTATTTTGAAGTTTTCTTATTTACTCTCAAATATGCTTGTTTCACCAAATTTGTAGGAGCGTTGCGACCCACAGATGACTACCATGCAATCCACCACCACACCAAAACACACAGCACCACGAAGGCCTGCTAAGCAGAAGCCAAGGTTTACATAGATAACATGATCTTCAATGACAACAAGAGGAGCTTCATAACGACGTAGCACTCTGACGTGACGTTTGTTTGATGCAAAGTTGGGAATGAGGATGACGATGACGTTGATGAGTTGTCATGTTCTCTTGTGCTTCCAATAAGAGAAAGAAAGAACTCCGCAGCTCCAGTTTAATCTACAACTGTCCCCTGTGTGTGTTTGTGAGGGTGTGCGTGTGTGTAAAATTTCACCGTGTGTCGAAATACATCTCCAATGACGCTATTGATTTTAGGCTCTCAAACGAGACTTGGATTCATTTGACACTTTTGGAGGAAGATGGGGCTGATGGGCGGGGCATATGGGGGTGTGACTTTGAGTGACAGGCGGCGTAATGTGGCGCCCGCTTAGCCTCCGTGTCCCCTCGTCAACTTCCCCTGCCCGGATCCGCTTTCTGGGGGTCACAGTTCACCCATTAGGATGCCCCTCGGTGCCTGATAACGCATATACTCTGTGTGTGTGTGTGTGTGTGTGTGTGTGTGTGTGTGTGTGTGTGTGTGTGTGTGTGTGTGTGTGTGGGCGCATGTCCGTATGTGCATGTATGTGTGTGGGCAAAGACTGATGGTGGCTGTCAGGCCTCTCAACCCCTACTGACAGTGCATGGGTTCGAAAACACACACACACACACACACACACACACACACACACACACACACGCACACACTTTGTGGAGCCTCAGGGGCTTGGTTGTCCTCGCGTTGGCCCATCCAGGCAGCGGTCGTGCTGATGACAGAGAAGTGTGGCTGCTCAGTTTCATTCACACACTCAATCAATCATTTCATTAATCAATGTAAATAAATTTCATCTCTTCATCTCTTTTTGTTCAAATCACTTTTTAAAATTCTGTACACCACATTGTGATTGTGTGCGCCACGTCCAGTTTCTCGTCATAAGTTGGAGGGCGCTCGCTGTCTCTTGGTCAATGCCGAAAAACTGAGCTCATCATGTTTGTTACAAACAAACTAAGTTTGACACTTTGGCAAGCCGTTTGATGGATGTAATTTACGTGCGTCCAGGTCACGGCGTTCGTGTGACATGACACTTCGCCGGAATCGTACGTTGCTGTCGTACTCTTAATGTCAACGATTTGCTAATAGTGGAAGTTGTAAAGTTGCACCATGTTTCGGTGATGATGACTCACGCCGCAAGGTTTTGATTAGCTTAGAATACACATAGAAGTGCAAAGGCCGATTCCACCGTGACGATGTGTGTAAGGGGCTCTCACGTTGATGATTTTGATGGAATGATTGGGGTTCTCCCGGTGAAGGACTCCAGCTGCCGGCTGAGGAAACAGGAAGGAGGTTGAAATCTACGATAAGAAGTCAATGTTGTCTGACGTTCGGGATTAGCATTTCACCCCTCAGGAGAAGGTTAATGGTCCACAGCAGCCGGCCGCATTCCTACGTGGCGGACTTTGACGCAGCCTCACCTGTGTTTGGAGTTGGTGCGTTTTTTTTTTTGCCATCCTGCGAGGGAGATTTGCGTTTGGGTGGAGAGCAAACGGGACCCCAGGATAAGGAAGGCGCGAGGTAAACATTGACCCGAGCGCTATCGCACGCTTGTCCGCATCCCATCTTTCACGACTAGGCGAAAACTGTGCAAATAACTTGGATGCGTTGATAACTCTCTTTCACGCGGAGTATCGTCTGATAACGGCCGCAGCCCTGTGGGCCCAGCTAGTTTTGCCATATATTCCTTTGTTAGTTTTTTTGTTGTTTTTTTTGCTTTTATTTTTTTACAAAGTCAAAGATTTGATTGCTGTTGGCAAAAAAAGACAGCATCAACATCGTCATGATAGCGAGAACACAAAGCAAAAATTTAAAAGAGACAGGACCTTTTCACAATTTGAAAATTCAGCAACATGGTGTGTTAGTGGTTTGCATGTCTGCCTCGTGGATTTGATTTTATTTTTTTTACAATTTTTTTGCATCCAACCAAATTCTACTTGAACTGGTTCGCATTGTGTCGCACATCCGCTCCTTGAAAGTAACTCTGGATCTTCACCCAGCCGAGCCACCAGGTCAGAGAAACTCAGTATGGGGGCTGGTTAGTTGCTAAATTAGTTGTCTGGTGATGTCACAAAGACACGCGTGCGCTTAATTCTGTTAAAATGTTTGTGGGAATCAACATAAGCGTTTTGTGTTCAGAAACAACTTTTTGATCAACTTTGTCTTTAGTAGCTGGTCTTAGCGCACACACTTTGCAACATCAGGATATTGAACTCGGGAGCATATTTCCTGTTCGTGTCGACACCATGCAGTCGCGTTTACCATGTGAGACTGAGCCTGTCGCCATGTTGGCAAACATGCGAGACGAAGGAACACATGACTTGGCACATCATCTGCCTGCTATACTTGGTTGGGAAATACATGGGAAGGACCTTCTTGCTTTTTGTGGACTGTGTGTGCGTGTGTACAAAAATCTTCCGAGTCATCTTAGTCTTTGTCGCCATCTCCTGGTCAGTTAACGTCACTGACCAAGATTCTTCAAATCAAAAACACATCGTCGCATTACTAAATTTTATTCTCCTGCTTTTCTACTCATGTTCTTTTCATGCCATCTAGCTCACGAGAAGTCGAGTCATTTTAGTCTTTGTCGCCATCTCCTGGTCAGTTGTTGCACTGACCAAGAATCTTCAAATCAAAAACACATCGTCGCAGAACTAAATCTTATTCTCCTGCTTTTCTACTCATGTTCTTTTCATGCCATCTAGCTCACGAGAAGCACGACGACATGGAAAACAGACTTTGGACAGTTTTAACAACTTTATTATGATGCAGAAAACAAACAACTTCACATTTTCTTCTTTTCGTTTAGTTCTTGCAGGAGCCTTCAAAGAATTCATTACAGGCCACGGTGAGCGCCGCCACCAGAACTACAAACTCCTGAAAGTCGAGTTGCTGGTCGGAAAGTCGACCCCTAAATTGTCTTACAGCCATGAAGTCTGTGAGCTCCTCCTGCAGGAGCGTCTTGAGCTCGGCTTTGCTCAGCTTGTGCTTGTCGCCTTCTTTGGACGAGTACGAGTGGAAAATGGTGATGAGGCCTTCGATGGACTTTTCTAGCTGACGGCTCATTTTGTCAACACGCTCGGTACCTGCAACACACAAACACACAATTGAGCACAAACCGGCAGAGGATGAACAGCAAACTGTCACCGCAATCGCCAAGCCGCAGATGCCATTTTAATTTCAAACTTGCATCCCAAACTGGACATGTGAATCTTTAAAAGATGAGAATGAAGCAGCTATTGTAAATCCATTGTGTCTTTTTCCACACAATAACAGATGACATCAGCGCCAGTGTCTGGGGCAGAGCATAAAATTGTTGCCAAGTGAGTGTCAAATGTTAAATTCCCCACCCTTGTCCAAAATTTCTGCGCTTGCCTTTCACACAAGTTCCGTTTTGCCTCTGATACTCCCCCCGCCCCAAAAATGGCGGGGAGAAGATCCTGCCCCCATCTAACTCCAGTTATTACCGCAACATCTATGATTCTACTAAATTAGCATGAGGCTAGCATTAGCATGAACCTAGCATACTTTCACGAGACTAAATAAAATGGTTTGTTTTAACATTTGCGTTGAGAGCCACATTGTTCAATTATTTTTGTTTTGTGGGACAGTTTTACAGTCTGGGGGTGACAAATGAACAGCGCGAGAGAGGGGCGTGTCAAGGTCATTTTTGTGGAGGACCACATCGTAGTTGTGATTTCCTTCAGAGCGCCCTTATGACTGTGATCGCAAATAAATTTATGATGGCCTCATTTTACATGTGCACAACAAAATGAGCTTTGAAAGCAGAGGGCAGTAAAAAAAAAAGCTCAATTATTTATCCATTTATTTTAAAAGGGGGTATTAGTGTTAAATATAAATAAAATGGTGAAAAAAAAGTGGGGGAGGGATAAAATTACAGTTATATTAAAAAAATATTTCTAAGAGCTCTCGCAATTGCAGATTTTCACAGATGGATGTGGAACGCATCCTTGGAGACAAATGCGGGTTCACTGTATTCCCTTTCACACAGGCACCACCCAGCCTCTGAAACTACCTCTGAAGCTGAGAAATTGCCGAGCCGCCATTCACTCCCCCACCCCGTGTCGGTACCTTTCACACAGAATCCAACGAAGTGGAATATTACCGCGACTGCATGCTTTCGCACAGCAACACAGCATCCTGGAATCAGACAATTACATGACGTCAGCGTCCCATTGTCCAATGGCGAAATTTTTTTTCCAAGCTTAAGCCAGGTGTTAAACGTCACACCTATTTCCTGGATTTCCACCATTCCTTTCAATCCAGGCGCCATACCACCTTGAATGTATTGCTTATCTTTCACACTGCAAACCAGCACAGGAAAAACAGGGCTTTGATGGACAGTGCCAAAGTGCAACCAATCAGATGGTTCTGTTCTCACTCGTGATGCATGCATACCAATGTCCCGGTGTAAATGCTCCGATACTATGCCACAGATACCAATTTGCCAGCCTGACACCTTCCAGGCAGGTGGAGTAAGAACCATGTAAGACGTGCAGAGGTACTTTTAGGTTAACAGGGATGACATCACTGCCCACTAACCCCTTGACCAGAGCTGAGCAGAGAAGACCGTTACTCAAGAAACTCTGTGCTTGACAGACAACCTGCTGCCAGAACTTGCAGGGTGGTTGATTCCATCGACATATGAGAAGAACTCATCATCTATTTTGCAGGGTGACTGTAAATTGTGCTCTACAAAAAAATGGAAAACGAAAGTCTTCTCGGATTGGTGACGGAAGCGTAAGCATTGGGCCGTCTGGCAAGTTCCTGGGGCCCCGCCCCAACCGAAGCAAGTCACGAGGCCTTCGGGCAACGGGGCACGTCGAGCAAAGAGAAATAAGCAACGGTGTCCTTCAGGTGTCCTGCCATAAATTTCAGTTTGTAACTACGGCCTGACCGATACGGATTATTATTATTTATTTATTTATGTTTTGAGGCCTCAAAATAACATCAATGCATTTGTCAATTATATGCGGATTTGCGCAATTCAGGGCCAGCCTGATTCCTGTTCTATCTTTCAGAAAACTGTGTTTTTTTAACAATACTAAAATAAAACCATTCGTCACAACTGCAAGACGTAATGGTATTATCAAATATCTCAGGATTCAAACTGTCTAAAGAGGAATATAAATAGTGGTATCAATTCTTCTTACAGCAACGCGGTTTCCTAAGAGACATTTTCTCCACTGGTTGGCACCGAGTGACACCTGAGACGCTACAACGTAGGGGGCGGTGGTGAGGAGTCACATCACCTCAGAATAATAGAATGGAAAACCAGCAAAGTGAACCCCATGCTGAGCAGCCTGGACACCCCCGGAAGATTTCAATTCACTTTCAGCTCCTTACATATTTCATGAAGGTGCAGAGCAGTGGTGGGAAGTAAAGAACAATTACTTTTAGTCAACTTGAGATTTTTTTTTTTCCAGTCAATCTGTAGCTTGAGTATTTAGTTTTTTTTCAACCGAAAACTGAAAACATTTCGTTGAATCGGCCAACTTAAAATGTTTGCGAAGTTTGGTGCCCGGCAATTTTGAGTTCACCCAACATTTTTTTGGAACAGTGCAACCTTTGACATTCAAAAAAAATCTCTGACAAAAAAACAAACACACCTGTATTTTGTCAGCACGGTACTCCAGGACATGAGCAAAAAAAAGGGATTCAAAAGTTAACACCCAACACTCACTTTTCCCACTCTCTGTTGCGTTGAAAGCAATTCTATCATCACACCAGACTGGTGTGGACTTGATGTAATAATCCCAGGCTGTTTCTCTTTGTGTCAGCACAGGTAAAATAAATGCACACATCTTCTTTGATTCTAAATGTGGCTATTTTCGGAAATGTCTATGTGAAATAGGCTTACGTTTCTATTAAAGTTTAGACTGCGTTGAAATCTATTCCAATTTGTTAATTTGTATTAAAGAAGTTGGGAGAATTAAGAGAGAAGCCAATCCTGTGACCTCCAACAAATAACACAAGCTCAAATGAAACAAATTCACAACACTCTAAGTGTTTTGAAATTCCATAAAAAAAGGGTTATTCTATTATTTTACCTGAAGAAAAAAAGAGATCCAAACTCACCTGACCGCGAAGTTAACAAGCTGAAGGGCGTCCAGCTGGCATCTCATCGCTTGTGAACTCTTTCCACCGGAACCTGATTAATCTTTGGAGTGACAACGGCGACCCCTTTGGCCGTTTGTGGTACGACACGTCAGCGAAGCAGCGCAGATGAATGGAAGGGAGAGGACACTTTCAGTTCACGACCTCGGAACGTCTTTTTCCACTTAAAAACACGTCGACAGTTACATTTATTCTGATGTCACTGGAGACGCTGCTGCTGTGCTTCCTTCGGTACACTCAATTTCAGTAGTGACTACTGCTAGACGAAGCTAGCGTGGAGATAAGGACTTACGTGGAAAGTAAGAAACTTTCGATCAGACATCAGACATAGAAAGTACAAGTATTTATCGACTGCTAGTTTCTTTAAAAATTGATTAACTATTAGCTCCACCTCGGTGCTAATTAAGATAACCATGGTTGGCGATAGCAATATAGGCATAGTGTTCCTTGGCCAAAGCTTAAACTTTTTAAATATTTTTGACACATCTGGTTAAAGGTTGGTGCCGCCCACCACAGTACATTAGGCAACACGTTCAGTTTGTGTATTTAAATATTAATTCATTTACTTGGGATCAGCAATAACACATATTCCGGCGATATGTTCTGCAAGTATAATTTTCCTAACATGAAGAAAGTGTTGAATTTTAAAATAGGTCAAAATGCGCCAATTTCTTGCCAACTTCTTAATACCAATACATAAAGCAATCCCAGAGTTAAATTTAAACATTTGCCATTCAAACATAGCAAAACCAATTAAGAGGTCAAAATCTGAGCCTTCATGCTGGCCAGAGCACAAGCAACTAGGCCAAAAATGAGTGGGCAAATTGATCAGTTTCTATTAAATTTGGCACAATCACAGAAAGCTATATGATTCAGTTTAACATAGGGATTTGAAAGAATATTTTATCACCTTTGATGTTTTTGAGGGACATTTATCATCTGTAAATTTTGGCATGCAAATATGTAGCCATCAGTGTGTTGGACAATGTGGTAGAAAATCTATATTATTTTTCAAACTGCATTGCTTTTCAAGGTAGTACAAAGTCTTTAGGGGTGCATTTTTTTTTGTTTTTGATTTTTTTGACCTTGAGCTAGACATACAACTCACCACATTGTTTTATACACATTTTTTATTCAAGAAGACAGTAAAAAAAAAAAATAAAATGTCCAGCATTTTACAATTATTCGTTAAGGTAGGCCTGCAGTGCGCTTCTGTTCAGGATCCTTAAACGACTGACACTTATAAAGACGTCTATGATTTTGTAAACAGTACTTCGACTAGGACGGGGCGATTAATGGTTTTCATCCGAATCATAACGCCGTTGGAGCATTTATACTTTCATGATTTCAAATATACAGCTTGCTTAACATCCAGCTTAAGGTCCATGTGCAGTACTAGTACTCTTTGTCATCATTCACCGTACAACTTTGGCCTACAAGTAGAACAACTACAGATTACTAGTGATGCAAAAATACGCACTATTTGACAACTACGTGTGACCAGTTCTCCTCCTGAAGTACTAAAATAGTAGCTAAAATGCAGCACTTCAGCTGGAAATTAAGGATATCGAATGAATGCTGAAACAGCTTTCCATACTGGCGGCTTCAACCAAGTGCACAGCGGGGGTCGAACCTTTTCAGCATCCGAGTATCGTGTTCACGTGGGCCCTTTTGTGTCCAGGCGTTTTGGTTTACCAAGGGGCTCACGCCACCACAGGGATTTGTCTTCCATTGAACATTTCATCTTTAACGTATTCCGCTCCTCCATCAGGATCGGCCATTTCCGGCCCCGTAGGCTCCTTCAGCGAGTGGCCCCCGATGGAGGAATTCCTACTCCGGGTGCTATGCCTGGTGGGTTTGCCCAAGACGCTCCTCAACTGGGCCCAGAAGAAAGCCTGCTGGTTGGCCTGTTGAGGCCACTCCAGGTACGTCTTGGTGCTCAGCATCTTCTTCAGCTTGCAGTACTTACTGGGCAAGGAACCCGGATCGATGGGTTCCTTCACCACCAGGATGACGTCGCTGAACGTTTTGCCCATGGCTCGCTGCTGAGCAAAGTACAGCTCGTAGTTGCACCATTCGCTGTTGACAAAATGCCGTGACAGCACAAATATGACCTGCGTAGAGAAACGAGGAAAAAAAATGTTTATAATCCTTGAAAGCTTTGTGGTATATTGCCTCTAAAATTACAGTGGTGCCGTGCGATACCATCTAAATTCATTCCATGCCCACGCTTGTAACGTCAAAACACTCAAATCATCTTTCCCGATTGAAAGCAATCAAAGCGCCGTTCATCTGTTCTAAGCTCCCCCCAAAAAACAACATTTCCAATGTGTTTTCTTAATGAGGAAAATAGCTTTCTATCACGTGATATAATGTGGATGGATGGATGTCCTCTTGAGTCACGCTCCTTACAAAAGGGCTGTCATGAAACTGTCCCCTGGGTGGCGACGTTGCTCCCCTAATTTTGTTTCCAAATGGAAAGATAAACTGACCGCAGTGTTAGCTTCTCATTCCTTTTCTGTGAACTCCACATAGCATGTGAGAACCATGTATTAACACCAAATTGAACTGCACTTTGGTTCCGTTTTGTTTCTTTTTTTTTCCTCCTATTTTTGGCACCTTTAGGCGCAAGCCAAATCATTATTTATCACTTTAAAACCATACGTTATCAGGCTGAACTGGACTGCAAGGCATGGTGCCAACTTGACAAAAGGCCACTTGACGTCTGAGATGCGCGACCTTTTATTTCATCTCAGGAGTTTGTATTGGGGTAGCAAATCGAATCTGCTACCTAATATTCTAAACACCAAAAGTCATGGTTATATTTTTAGCGCACTATCGTCTCAAATGTCTGGTACTTCTTTGAAGACAGAGAAGACCACTACCCCCCAAAATAGTTCTTCTATTATCACACAGTGAGGGACGCCACAGCCAATGGTGGCTTTGCACAACAGCACTGCGTTACCTTGTGACTGCTTTCAATATTCTCGATGATGTTGTCGATGATCCAACGTCCTGGCATGAAGTCCCTCTCGTGAATGCACAGTCGGTAAGGGTTCCGGTTGTTCTCCAGACATGGCAGCAGCTGCTCCCTCACCCAGTCGGCGTCCCAGTGGCTGTAGGATATGAAGGCGTGATAGGCGAAAGGGCCGGCTTCTCCGGCAGCTCGCTCCTTGTGTGCTCTGTATTTGGCCCTAATGATCTGATAAGTGGCCTTGGTGTACCACGGCAGGTCGAAAATGTAGCAGATGAGCATCAGGATGAGGAGGACCGCCGTGGTGGTGGCGACGCTGATGATGATGACCAGTCTGACGTCGCATGCCACCTCGCTTGGGAGGTATTTGGATATGACAGTGTTGAGGAATTGCTCTGGGTGGTAGCACTTGTAGTTCTCGGGCCAGTCCGTTAGGTTGACCCGCCCTTTGGTGTCCTCAATAAAGGCGTGAAGCTCACAGGTGCAGTGGTAGGGGTTGTTCCCAGCCCTCAGGTGAGAGAGTCCAGGCATGTGCTGAAAAGATTCCTTGCTGATGAGACCAAAGGAATTCCCGTCCAAAGCCAGCCTGAACAGCGACGGACTCTCCCACCTGGATGGGATGAACTTGATTTTGTTGTCGCTTAGAAGCAACTCCTTCAGGTTTATGGCCTTCTCGAAGTATGTGACATTTAGCTGGTCTAGGTTACACGAGGACAGGTCCAAAAAGTGGACAGTGGTGGGCAGACAAGCAAGGGCTTCTGTGGTAAACTGGTTGTGGTGAGCGATGACTGTGGTGATGTTCGTTTGCCAGATGCAGCCCCGGCTGCTTTCGACGGATCCCAGCTGGTTGTGACTGAAATCCAAGACTTGCAGCCGGTGAAACTGCCTGGTCAGTGCCGACAAGTCTTTCAAGCTGGTCAGCTCGTTGGTGCTCATGTTGAAGGTGTGAAGACTGGTCATGGAGCCCCGGTAGTCGCACAGCTGGTTGAATATGTAGGTATCCCGTAGGCGGTTGTTGGAGACGTCCAGGATTTCCACACCACTCATCTCCACCCAGGCGTCGCAAGGGACAGAGTTGAAGTATACGTAACCAATGGACAGCTGCTTGACCTTGTTGAACCAAGTGAAGCGCCAGTCAAACCGCAGTATGTCGGGATTGCTGATGTACCTGAAAGACATCAGGAGCCACACATGTACAAGTTTTGAACCAAATGTATCAAATGTGCTAAACATGTCGAGATTTACTAGTCACAAAGCCACCAGCGAACGAGTGGCACCTCGTAGCTTGAACTAAGTTGGGGTACTTGTAAGTCCACTTTATCCTGAACCTAAACAGCACGGCTTACCACAGATCCAGCTTTTCCAGCTTCAGGTCGGTGATGCTGGATTTGGCGCCGCTGTCGGTGAATTTTTGCGAGCGTGCAAAGTCGATGTACTGGAACCGGACCCTCTTTATAGGGGCGACTTGTAGGTTGGTCAGGGCCATCCTCAAGAGGTTCTCATTGAACTTTCCTCTGTGGAAGACTAACTGGTAGACTGTGATGTCCCCTAAACCCTGGAAGATGTCCTCGTCTCCCGTGTAGTATGTGAACTCGAAGAGGTTGCGGAACTGGAGGGCACTGAAGCTCTTGTTGGCGAGGTCTTGCAGCATGTGAAGCAGAGTGCCAGGCCGCTGGTCGATGGCCACGTCGAAGCCCATCTGTTCAGTTTGGACAATACGTAGACTTCCAGGCTCATAGTAACTTAAATTGGTGGAGCATTTGATAGCGAAACCTTGTAACTTGATCTTCATCAGTGGACGAAAGTCTTCCCTCTTTAGACCCTCCACCAGAGGGCCACCCAAGGACAGAACCTTCAATTTAGTCAGCCTAGAAAATCCCTCGGATAATGTAGCACGCGTGTAAAGATTGTTGGACATGTAGAGATACTTTAAGTTCAGCAGAGACGTCAGAACCGAGGCAGGAATCTCTTTCAGGGAGTTGTTGAAGATGTTCAGATGCTCGAGCAGGTTGTTGTTTCCGAAGGCAGCGTCGTCGATGCGCGAGATGTTGTTGTACTGCAGATTCAGCACACGGAGGCGAGGGAGACGTCGGAAGTCCTCCGAATGGATTTCTTGGAGTTTATTGTAGGACAGGTCGATGTCTTCCAGTGTGGACGGGAAGTATCTCCACGGGACACTCTCCAGTTGCCCGCCCAGGCAATCTGCCGTGCGGCCCGCGTTGGAGAAGCGACAGGGTCTCCCTTCCATGGCTCCGCTTCGGGTCGATGGTCTCTGGGTTGGCGACGTGTGCCCGGCATTGAAGACGGCACCGAGGACGATGAAGCTCCACAACATTGTGACTCACCTGTCAAAGCAAAGAAGCAAGACATTCATACTTACAACAATTGGAACTTTTTCCAGTCCAAAAAAGACCATTCATTCATTCATCTGAAAAATAATAATTCAGCTCTCAGCGTCAGGTGCGGGAAGCTGTCCCTGCACCTGTTACTGGTACGCTCATGAGCAAGACATTTTTCAGATCTTGAAATGAAGGCTGGGACAGGTTGGGCCCTTTGTGTAACATTTGATGATGATGCTTGAGTCATAACTTGAACGCTTTAAAATGCGATTGTGTTGGATGAAGCCTTTTGTGGTTGTTTTAACTACTCGGCAACTGTGGAAAAAAAAAAAAAGACAGTCAATGTCCTTGATATACGGCTTAAGGTCAGCGTACAAAGTAGTAGCACACACTTTGTTCTCACTAATTAGACAATTCAAAGCACTAGCAGAACGACTGTGACGTTTTTTGTTTTTTTCAACCTGTGCTGCTTTTGGCCAACCTTAAGGTAAATATAAAATAGTCAAACTGCCACAATATAAAATCACTCTGAGCATTTATTTGATATAATTAATATCCAGCTTTAGGTCGATTTACTTAAGACAAACACTATAAGTGCTCAAGACCTAGTCCAACAAGTTATGGTTTTTTTTTTTTCCCACTCGTGCCAGTTTTTGTCAACTACCATGTCCTTCACTCATTCAATTCCAGCCATTTTCACTGGAGCAACCCCCTCAATCCCAGCGTTTTACTGGATTTTGACTGATCTTGCAAGGCCCACAGTATATTTGGTTCTAATGCCATATAAACATGGAGCCTACCAAAATAAAGTTTGGAGTCTCTTCTTTCAGCAGGAAAAAAATATATTTTTCTATTCTTCAGCAATCGGCATTGTAAAATGGCGAAGTTTCACGAAAATGGCGATTCCTGGGCAAAAAACGGAGAAAAAGAGCTTTATGTAAAAACGTGCATTTCAAGCACGTGAGGCACCACTGCCACCTACTGGTCGCTTTTTTTACATTATTTACAATGCAAACGGCTTAATCTCATTCACAGATTGCATCAGACCCTTCTCCTCTCTATGACGCAAAAAAAAAGACTTAGACGTACAAGTACGTCCTTGGTAGGCGGGGCCTAATTTTAAAAAGACGTACAAGTACGTCTTGTGGAATGAAAGAGTTAAGTTGGATATTAGCTTTATGGAAATCCGTCTGAACAGCTCAATGTCTGATATCAATATCTTTGATACCAACTTGGTCATTTTGACGACCCCTGAGCTAACCCTTTCATGAACAAATAACGATAACCTGATAAGCTGTCCACTGTAGTAACCACTGTCCCTGAAAGGGTTAATAACTAGCGCTTCAGTAGAAGTACCGGTACTACTAGTTGTAGCATGCCGATGTCAACTAGTGCAGTGTTGCCTCACGAGAAACATTGCTTTGTTGTTCTCCTACGAGTGAGCAGAAATGTGTCACAGTCGTGGAAGTCACTAGTAGGAAAAAAAAAATTGCTAGTAAGACAGTGTCACATTTGTAGTCGACCCTCGTTCTACGAATGCGCAGAGCTGTCTCTTGAGAGAGGACAAAGAGCGTACTAGTATATGGACCTTAAACTGGCTATCAAGGATATGGAATAAATCCTCAAAAAGCTTTTCATACAGCACCACCAAGTTGACTCTCAGAGCAATTGATTGATGATGCAATGGAACTGTTCAACGGGAATGATTTACTTTATCACCCGTTGCGTTGATATGAAGTGGAAATCTTTCTCGAGCACTCCAGCAGCAAAAAAAAACAACAAAAAAAAAAAGATTTTGACAACATAATGCCGATTCTAAAACATTGATAACAATACAAGTGCACTCGACAGGAAATCATGCCCTGACAACGGTGTTTATGAGCCGCGTCAAGAATTTTAGTGCTGTTTAAACTCGGCGCTAAAGTCGTCCTTCTCTCAACATTATTGCCACATTGAGCATTTTCATTTATCCGTTAAATGAGCAACTACTTATCTTTGTCTCCCTTCATAATGTCTGAGCTTGTGCGTTGCTCGGATATGTTGTTTATGAGAAGGGGATTTTTTTTTTTTTAATTTCTTAAATGTTTGCTCAGCCCACTCCGATGATGACTCACCGCACCTTAGTGTCCTTTAGGGCTTTGCATCATCTCATTGCTTTTTCCACTTTGTTTTTGTTTCATTTCAAAGCTTTCATTGTTTGTCCCCCTTTGTTTTTGCTTCATTTCAAAGCTTTCATTATTTGTCCCCCTTTGTTTTTGCTTCATTTCATTTCTCTTTTGATTCTTTTTCAACACTATTTTGCAGTTAGTCATCTTAACCCGCCATCTATTAAAATCTCCCCAAAAAAATGCACAATATTTAGTAATGAGGCCCCCCCTTTTTAAAAAAAAATTTTTTTTTACTCTTTTCATATATTTTTGTTTGACTCCATTTAAAAAAAAAAATTCTATATGCAGAATATTCATATTCCTGTAATCATCATTTGCATCATTAATAGTATTTAAGATCACGTCAAATCAGTTTAATAACACGCTGACTTAATAAGTGACAAACGAAGCAGTCGGACAAGGAGAAAAGTACGCCGTTCCATATTTTTCTTAAAACTTTTCTCCTGATGGGAAAAAAAAAAGAAAAATCAAAGCAATTGCATTGATCGACACGCGCACACATACCTTCAGGTTCCCGCTTCAAGAGTGTAAACACACTCTATCAAAACATTTCCTCATACTGTCTTTATATTGCTGGCCTGTGAGTCGGCGGAAATCACGTGCAGGAAGTTTTACAGCTTTCCCATAAAATGTTTGCATGTGTCTGTCTGCGCGCAAACACGCCCATCGATGCGCATATGCATTTAATGACCTCATCAAAAAGATTTGCTAAGGTCCCGATTTACTCGCCTTCTGAAGGCTTCGAAATGTTTTGGTGAAATATCCAGGATTTCTTTTGCCACTTCCACTTCCATCCCTTCGAAGTTCATTTTGCGTTTGTGGTCTTCTGACAAATAAGTGGAGACTATCAAAGACAAGAAGCGCAAGAGCCTTATCTAAATAACGCGTTCTCCACCACGCTTACGCCTGCTGCCAGTTGCGTAGGAGGTCATGTGCAAAACACTCACTATCTGTGTGCTCGATCTGTTTGCAATTTAATGCTTGCTCCATATTTGGTATCAAAGTAAATCAGGCCCCAAATGTCTCGAAAGCATCATCCAGAGTGTGATGCAGATCAAAAAAAAAATTTGGAAAGCAAAATTTGGACCAGTCTCTGTTGGACTAATTAATGTTTTATTATGTATTTTCTCGGTTGAGAATTGAACCCGCCGTGAGTTGCCATGGCAACTTGCCTCACATGTAAATAGCCCGCCGGCTATATTTGAGCTCTTGTTTATTCAGTTTCTTTTGAGCGACTTTCTGTTTTGATGTCGAACATTTTTGGACAACTTCACACTGTGCCCAATTTGCACAATATTTACCCACTTAGCCTGCTGCTCAGACGTTTTTAATGTTTTAATTACGGGCATCAAAATTGCAAATCTGTTCTTTCAAACAATGTCCGTGGGTTTTATGATGCCAGCGGTCTGTAAACGCCATCATTCCAAAAAATCTCAATGGGATATTTTGTTTTGGAAATCACAACAAAGCTGTGATCAAGCAACTTCACAAATTGTGTTCCACCTGGTCGGTTCCGCTTTATTGAATCCAGTTGTGTATCTTAATACTGTTCTTAAAAACTACTTGAAGTCAGTTTATTATGCTTTTTGTAAGGGTCAAGTGACTTCATATTTTAAACTACACGGTGCAATGTCGACAGTCATCTTAAAAGTACTTCATGAAGTGTTGTCAGTAAGGCTAAAAAAAATTCTCTTGGTACTCTCCTTGGTTAGCCTGTTCCAGCTTAATATATATTGTGAAAGGTTCATTATGTCATGAAAGAGTTCAGTGAGTGATTATTTTTGGAATTATAATTGTTATAGCTGTTGCCGTGTAAAAGGCTCATCCGATGATTCAAATCTCAAGTCTTGGTCTCTACTTTGCTTGAAATGCTTTGGTTGTTAGTGTGTAAAAAAAAAAAAAAGATTAACAGGGGAATGTAAAGTATTCGGGAATGGAGCGACGTTTTGTGAAATATTAATACTTTTAAAGGGGAAAAGTGTTTCCTGTCCGGAGATGAATCAATGTTGTGGCCTTGGCCTGGTTTGTTATTAACCTGCACAGCAGCCGCGGCAAGACTGAATCACATGGAGGAAGTTGAACGCCTTCTAACGTCATTTATCAGAAGAAAGAATGGTCAGGCTTTATCTGAGTGGCACATTGATGTTGCTGCACCTCATTCAATGAGACTCGAAGAAACTAGGTCACGTGAACTATTGTTTTTTTTTTTTCACACTGTGGATAGATGCCAGGTCAAGACAGCTAAAAAAAACAAAAAGAAAAAAGCTTCTGAGATTATTTCCAATGAACCCAATGCCAATCCTTACATCGACATTTGTAACCTCGACGAGCCGCAGGTTTTTCCATACAAAATGACAAAAATAAATCACAGAGGAACACACCTATTTTAACTACTTGTGCTTTTACTGTAATGCCACCAGGGGCCGCCAAAATGCCCTGCTCCTTCTCAAGGCGGAGGCGCCTTGTGGCGTTGATGTTGTGGCGGCAACAACGTGGTAAACCTCTTAAGATGATGCAGAGAAAAGGTCCAGATGGCTGTTGACTGTGATGAAAGTTAACAGGTGCTAACATGTAGCTGCTCAACATTAGCTACGTTTGGAAATATTTATCATCTTGCGCTAAAATATCCCTACATGGGCAGTATATGTTACAAAGGCACCGATGTATTCACATGTTGGAAACTTTGGACCCGAGCGGGTACGGCATTACGCTAACTAATTGAGCTGTGCAGTTAATCTGTTCATTTTATGATCTTACATTTTTGAACTTTTCAAAAGTTAATTGAATTAACAGTTTTTTTGTTTGTTTGTTTTTTGTTTGGTCATGTGACCTTCACAAATTGCTCCGTGATTGGTCATTACCTGAGCCACAAATGCACTTATTAATCAGAATACCCCATTTAGACTTGTGGTGCTGCATGGAACATTTTACAATTAAGAAAAAAAAAAGACTTGATTTCTCCCTTTCAACAAAAAGTGACCAGCCAGGTGAGCAAGTGATGTGTGCATCTCGTGACAGAACACAAACGGCACTCAGCGGCTGCCAAAACGATAGCGATAATCGGACTGGCTCAATCCGTACATAGGCGGTATTTTTTTTTTATGACGCACAGGGTTTAAAAAACTCAAAAATATGCCATGTAATGTCGGAAAATTGCGAAAATTCTGAATTTCCCCTTTCAGGGACAGTGGTTACTACAGTGGACAGTTTATCATGTTATCAGGTTACAGGGTGCATGAAAGGGTTAATAACACATATTACCGGGACCATGGCCACAGAGGGATGCTCCTCAACTGTAAAACTATTTAATTTAATTTTTTGTCGAACAAAAATCTGCTATCTTCATGCTAACATGTAATATGAAAAGACATAGATGTGCTAACGGAACTTTGCCTCAACCTTACGGTACTTTAACACACAAGAGCCGCAACACACATCCAAACAGAGCATACAATCATACTCACGGGCTTACAGCGTATATTTTGTCCACTCTATAGGGGATGATTGTTTCTGGAGTTTAGCTATGTTCTTAATTACGCTGCTTTTGTTCCTGTTGGGCTCAGTGTTGCCTGCCATGTGGTTCGTCACTGAAGGCGCACAAATGTAGATATATACTTGTATCATGTGTCATATAAACCACTCTAATAACAATCTCTCCCAAAAAAAAAAAAAAATGTAGTGTGTTGTCTTCTTGCGCAAGCAGCGGTGTGAGTCACGAGCTAACCTTTTATAAAGCAGCATGTGGTAACAAACAGCAACCTGTTGCTTTTTGGCTGCTAATATCTTTTAGCACCATCGATTAGCAAACGTAAACTTGCAACACAGCGTTGTTGCGATGTTGTTACGATGGCGACTGATGATTGAAAGAAGCCCAGTCAGCACTTGTCTTGCCTCGAGCTTTAGCTCCGCTTTTTTTTTTTTTTTTTTGGGGGGGGGGGGGCGCTGACTTGTTGCTCAATCCAAGCCTAACTATGTCACGCAAAGATCAACTGAAGGTTGTGAACTCACCCGGTCACAGAATTCCTTTACTTCTCTGACTATATTTAGCATAAACTGGCGCGAAACTGGACAAGTATAGTTTAGAAACAGAATACTGCCATCACATTTTGTACTTGTACCAAAAATCTACATTGAGACTGAAAAGGATTCCATTGAAAAATGTACACATCAAAATATTGTTCTATTTTATGTTCTGTTGTATTATGGGTTTTTTTTTGTGTTCTGGTTTTAAAATTATATAAAAAAATATTTTCTATTCTTTGCTTATATCGGCTGTCCATAAGTCATTTTCCCAATTTCAGCTTCCTGGCTTTCACATTAACTGTCTGTAAACTTTCAAATTACAAAGCAGAATTTGAGCTATTTTTTCCCCTTAAACTCCATATTATTTTTTTTTAATTTTGTCCGTACATTTTTCGACAAACACGATTTTAAAAATTATTTTTTTGATTTATTTATTTTTACCAGCAGTTAAGATACCAAAATAAACATTGCACATAAAGTAGTCATAGGAACGCACAGCTATCTATCACCCCTCCCAAAACTCACCCAAAAGGGGTCAATCCGTGAGCCACTTCTTGGTTTGGAGCCACCAGTTGAGCAACTCTACTCTGAATCACTCGAGCATCCATTCAACAACAACGCGAATGAGAATGTTTGCCGTGGATCAAAATGTTTAGCATTTGAAACTCACTTCCTCTGAAGAATGGTCAGGGGCTTCTTCCTCTTCCTCAGCGTGGCACGTTTGAATCGGGCCAGTGTGTCCGACCCGTTTGTTTCTATTGGCCCGAGCTAACTCCCTTATGCGCTCACTCTGCCTCGTCTGTGTGTGTGGTGTGTGTGTGTGTGTGTGTGTGTGTGTGTGTGTGTGTGTGTGTGTGTGTGTGTGTGTATTGTGTGTGCGGTGTTCAGGAATGTGGAACGGCCTCCAAACCATGACTTGTTTTCTTTCACTCTGCTGACTTAGACGACTTGAAAGTGGAACTAAGGCCTTGTAGTGCAAAATGTGCTTTAATTTTGGAGCGAATTGATTTTTGACTGCATTCATCACAAAACCACGAGGAAAATAAAATATTCTTCCCAACCTTCCCTGTGAAAATTTTTGTTGGTGAGGGAAAAGGGATGGATCAATTGGCAGAATAAAAAAGGCTCACATCAACCTTGATCAGCTCCACGATGGGGAAATTCCAGTTTTGACAGCAGCGCAGTGACAAGTAACAGCATGCAAGTATGATATAAATATCTATGTTCATATTTACAGCATCAGCCAATGAGACACATAAATAACTACTACGCTACACAGTATGTGCAGATGTGATCTTGAGCAGTAATCACAGTCTGAAGCATTGTATATTGGAATGTACAATGTATGTAATCAATACATCATATCTCAAAGCATTTTACAATTGAACCCAAAACAGACCAACGGTGCAGGGGCAACTATAGAAGCAACTATAGAAGCATAATAAATTGACACTTAATTTACGTGACGAGCAGCAAGAATGGTCCGCAGCATTGTGTGTCGCATGGAAAACGTACACAAGCAGAATACTATATCATGTTATTGTGCATACAATTTATACCACTGTGAATGTGAACAGCCAAGTGAATCATGAGCAGTGCTGTATGAAGCATCAAACACAGTACACGTATCACAAAGTCATAAATAAACACATTGCCAGTGTGTTTGGAGGATATTTAAAAACCGTAATATTAAAATAGGTGTATATTCTTTATCCTCTGTGAAGAACAACGTATATTTCCGCTGCTTACAGAGAATTTTAGATCGGCTCCATGTATATCGGTACGTCTGTAATTGACTGCCGCCGGGTTGCCAAGTCGTGCACGCCAGAATAAGCGGCGCGATATCCATAGAAGTGAAGTAAAAATGTGGCAAATAGAGAGCCAAGATTAGTTGGCAACATTGCCTACACTGGCTCAACATCACTCCAGTAATGCAGATGGTAATGAAAACTATCAATGTTAACGATAGCAAGTCGTGTGAAGTCGCAACTTTTTCTTCCTTTCGCCCAATCTTCCTTTTTCACACACACACCTTCAATGATTTGAGTCAACGCCCTGTTTTGTTATTTTGATATCCAGCTCATCTCATCTTGATCAGTTTTGAATCACGACTGCTCGACTTGCGTAATCCTTCTGTCCACACCTTTGTTTATTGAATAGCTTCGTGATCATATTGCGCATTTGCGTCGCTGTTTGTGAATAGCTGCCACACAATTGGCATTCAAATCAGGATCAGCAACGTCAATATGGCCGCGAGATGCCTGCGTGTACTTTTGAGGAAACATTGAGATTTGAGGACAAGATTTAATTGCCTTAACATGTCCGCTTGTCATCTTTCCTCATGAATATTTTGCTCTCAATTCAGGAATAAAAATTTGGGGGGCAGGTACAGGAAGGAAAGGTTGGATGTGGATCATTAACAAGCAGCGCCAAAGGGCAGTGTGTTCTCTGGTCCGAGACGTCTGACCTTCATTGGCATTTTCTTCCAGACTTGTTCACTTCAGACAAGGTCTGGTGATGAAATAAATAGTACTAAATGCACAATCTGGCTATAAAAATTAAATCACACAAAAAAAAACCCAAACAAATACAAATAGGTAAGCGGACTATTCATTTTTGTTGAAGAGATTTAATTTTTAATCCAAAAGGCCTCGTCAGTTCAAAATTTTGGCTATGGCCTGTAGAGTCTCCCTATTTATCTCTGATTGTTTTGTCCCCTCAGGCTGGTCACAAAAAGGGGCGGGCCTAAGGGTAAAAAAAAAAAAAAACAGGCGGCAGAATATTGTGGTCTTTTACTTTGCTGCCAATTTGTCAAAGAAAATCCCCAGATGCAAACTGAGCAATGTTGTTAGGCATGCAATACATTGCATGAAGGAATTCGGCGACCTCGACCTCGGAGAGCTCAAGTAACTCCCCCACACAAACACATGGCACAACATCGGAGAGCAGCCTCTCCCTATTTCAAAAAGAAGAGACATTCCTGTGAAAAAAAAATGTCGAAATTCTGGACTGGGAGGACTACATGTACCAGTTTAAAAGGTGCGTGAGAGAAGATATTTATGTCAAACCAGAAAGGGTTTCTCTAAACCGAAGACGAGGTTTAGGCCATTACTTATCATCCTCTTACAGCAACGTCCTGGCACCACTTTTCCCCAAAGATTGTCTCCTTCTTCAGGTAGAGTGGCCACAAATGAGACATTTTGCCAGCAGGCAGGTGGACAACTTGTTGGTATGCAAAACGCACCACAGCGTTTCAAAGTTTTCTCAAGTGTTTGCGACCATGAGCCAGCATGTCTTGTCCTAGGCAACGCTTCGGACTGGTGGTTTCAGTTTCATTGCCGGGAATTCAGATCCAACTCCAAGCAGGAAATATCAGTCTGTGTCTCATGCTTTGAAAGTACCTTGAACTTCATTTGTCAAAATTCGGCTGGGTTGACCCGATTCTTGCCAGCAGATGGTGATGTGGCACCTCAAGCATAGTGGCAGGCAGCTGCTGAAAGCCTTCCACCATTTTTTTTTTTGGGGGGGGGGGGTGTTACATGTCACACAGTGAGTTCTCACTTTAGCCGCCATCTTCTCTTGCGAAAACATTGCCATTTACTCTAATTTTCTACAATAGAATTCATTTCCTGCATGCACTTCAAAATGTTCTAAATTGCTGATAATTGGGCAAGAAAGGCAAGTATGTGGGGCAAATGTCAATTGCCATTTTTAAATTATATTATATCATTATAATATATAGTATTATAAATGCAAAGTATGATTTTATTATATATTTCACTTAATTGGTCTGAAAATGTAATGTACTGTACTACAAATGTCTGTTCAACTATCTTGGCCTGTGACCTATAGTGTCAGGTAGACACGATTTAACGCTTTTCTACTCGATGGCAGAAAGTAAATAACTTTTTAACCCTTTCATGCACCAATAATGATAACCTGTAACCCGATAACATGTCACTGTGACCGCTGTCCCTGGAAGGGTTAATTTACAAAATGTGCCTTTGATCAATAAAATTTGGGATATACTGGTCTAGGCATTGGGCAGCCCGGGGGTGTCGTGGTTAGCGCGGTGACCTCCAGCTTCAGCCTCCCTGTGTGTAGTTTGCATGTTCTCCCCGGGCCTGCGTGGGTTTTCTCTGGGTACTCCGGTTTCCTCCCACATTCCAAAAACATGCATGGCAGGCTGATTGAACACTCTAAATTGTCCCTCGGTGTGAGTGTGAGCGTGGATGGTTGTTCGTCTCTGTGTGCCCTGCGATTGGCTGGCAACCGGTTCAGGGTGTCCCCCGCCTACTGCCCGAAGATGGCTGGAATAGGCTCCAGCACCGCCCGCGACCCTTCTGAGGATAAATGAATGGATGGTCTCGGCATTATCGTGTGTGTGTGTGTGTGTGTGTGTGTGTGTATGTGTGTGTGTGTGTGTGTGTGTGTGTGTGTGTGCGCGCGCGCGCGTGTGTGTGTGTGTCAACACAACAGTGGCAGTGTGTTGTCATGGAAAACATGAAATTTGAATGAATGGGAAAAAACAAAAGTCACTTTAAGTTGACTCATTTTTATTGGGAATTGAATTCACAACGTTCTATGGACACCCAGTTGTCAAATAAAGACAGTATCGGTTTGTTTTGTCGTCACATTTTATTGGTTAACACATGTCAATAAGGATTTGTTACATGAATATCTATTGCACCAGATATGACCTTTTTAAAAATAACAGCATTTTTATTATATCATGAATAATTATAAGAACCGTAGAAAGAATTTAACCCCAAAAAAAAAAAAAACAAGACACAATGACGACGGGCACATTTCATGTACATCACTTGAGACCTCAGTGCAACACGACAGCGAGCCACCTCGTTCACAATAAACACGTCCCTGAAGGCCACGTGACAAAAGATGGCGGGTCAGCGGCCGACGAGTTCCACTCAGGCGGCCATTTAAAGACACGCTTCACATGCTTGGAATCGGATTCAGACGCAGACTGCCAGCAGTAACCAAAGCAACAGATGGATAGTGTGGTGGATCCGTTCAGTTTGTTGACTGAAAGTTTGCATTTAAACCACAGGCGGGTCCTGACGCAACGACGTCCTGGTTGTTCGGTTGCGATATGCCGCGAAGGAGCCCCGAGGCTTCGTATCAATGAGCTTGTGTCAAAATGCTTCGTTTTTGTACGTGTAGTTAGTCGACAGCTCGAAACGTGACACAGGTGATAACATAGCGGTCGAAGTGAAAACCTTCCAGATGTGGGAGTAAGTTCCATCCAGTCCGTGCAAGCCTTCAGTAACTCTGCAATCTTAACCTTGGCGTTTTAAGCAGTTCTAAAGTTACTGTGGCAAGAATCTAGTCGAATTCCGATGAGTCAAGCCATGTCTTGGGTCAGTCAGTACCTGTACTTGTGAGTTATCTATTAAGAAAACATTCATAATCGCATCATTTTTTTAAAAAAACGAACTCCCAAGCCAGTCTTTGTATTGTCTAACCAAGATGAAGTCTATTTCATGTTGGACTAGCTAGCTATTAGCCAAACTGCGAGGTTAATGGGCTCAACTGTCTTCTGTGGGTTCTCGAATTACGGGTGAAGTTAAATGTTAATTAGTCTCTTTGATTTGTAAACCTTTGTCGAGCATCTTTCTTCGGCCCACGCATCTCTGCCTACGTGTTTTAGCTGTTCCCCTGTTTGGGAATTGAAATCATGACACAGAGCTGTTCGATAAATTGTGGTGTGCAGAGAAGATGCGTTTTTGGCGTGTAGGCATAGCTAGCTAGCTAGCTAGCGGCACACTGTAGTGGTAGAAATGTAACAAATAATAACTATCGGTAAGTAACTAGCAATTGTGCAGCGTAGCCACTTTCAAAGGCGTTCAAGCGCTCATCTCATGAGTGAGGGGGAACTCATACCGGGGGCTCCATTTTAGCTCCGACGAAAAAAAAAATACCTTCAACGCTAAAATGCTGGAAAGAGCTTAACGCTAGGTTCCGATAATTCAGTACTACTTGGTCTTTGCACGTTTGTAGCAATTGTCTCCTGACGTGTTTAATGTAAACAGATCTCTGAATTCACTTGATAGGGTTTTTCGGTTTGACTCGAGTCATGTCTGATGAGTCACACCCCCCCCCCCATCCTGAAGTCTGTACACTGAAAAAGGTTTTTGCTGAATTTACTCAATTTTATCTCATCAAGTGGATGCATGAAATGAAATCATCTGGCTGTCATGCATTTTTTAAACGAGACTATACATCGACTTAAAAATGTATCTGAAACCGGATGATTTTATTTTTTGATGCAATTGTCAGAAAAAAAAAAAGAGGAAATTCAACGCAACATTTCTTCAGTAGTGAGCTGATTGTATGAACACGGTTGTCATTTACATGCACCAAGAGTCAGGAAAGATGATGTCAGCTCAATGCAGAATTTAAAAATATATATTTTTCCTATTCTGACTGTTTTTAAATGCTTTTGGTGTTGTCAAACCGCAATTAATCCGATCCGCAAGCAGCGTGCGAGAAAGGAAACGTCGTTGTCTCAATCCACACTGCTCGTCAACTCAAATAAATGTAGAGCGCAGCGAGCTGGCTCCTAATTAGCTATTAATGACAGCCGGGCCGCAGCGGATGGCCCGACACGACTGCAGGATAATTTGTTGGCACTCTGGAGAACTTTCTAATCCGCTACACGACTCTTCAGTCACAGACTTTATGTTCTTCCAAGATAAACGTGAAACTAGAGCTTCCCTTCGTCAGCCGGTTACTGCCGAACGTACGTGAAGCTTCTGTCCTGGGACGAGCGAGTTTGTTTGTATCACAGCTTTGAAACTCGGTAAGAAAAACTAACAGATACATATCACATTCCAACTATGGCGTTTAAAAGACCCAAAGCATCGAGACAAATGTTCACATAAAGAGGCAGCAATGGTAGAAATCAGCACTGGCAGCAATAAAATACAGAACATCACAAATCTAAACACAAGCCTTTTTTTTTTTTTCCTTTTTCAAATCTCCTGGTAAAAATGTTGCCCTTTTGACGAGGTCTGCGTTAAAATGACTCTTGCGACACCTTGATCACGTCTTTGCGCTCCGTCGGTCACAATTTAGGTGAAGCAGAACACGTCATCTTAGTTTGATGTGGCTGGGCGAGTCATAGATTTTATCGATTTAATTCAAGTTCCTCGATTGAGTGCACGGTTTGCAACAAATAACTTGGCCGCAAACAGAGAGGGGCTAGTTCACAAGAGCATAGCCAAGTTACAATTTTTTCCCCCTCTTGTGACTACTTTTTAAAATCCTGATTTTGCAAAGGGGAAGTCAACCCAAATTTCTTTCTTTACAAAAAATACGTTCCAGAGAAATAGGAGTTAAGCAGCAAAATCCTCCTGTTTTTGTCCACCTCTGGGGGCGGCCATTTTGTCACTTCGTGTCAAGTGGAAATGACATCACAGTCACTCGGGTAACGACCAATCAAGGTTCACCTGTTCTCTGAAACTGAGCCATGATTGGTCGACACCTGAGCCCTGAACAACTGTGATGTCATTTTCAGTCGACGGCAAGTAGCAGCAAAATGGCAGACCCCTGAGATGGACAAAAAACCAGTGGATTTTACTGCTTAACTTATATACAGAATGAATCTGAATGCTGTCTTTAGACTAGTAGAGCTGCATAGGAGTTATTATTGTTAAAAAAAAAAAAAAAAAAGGGTTGACTTCCCCTTTAAGGAAAAAAAGGGAAACATCATTTAACGTCAGAAATCAAAATTTTGTGGGAAAACAAATTGGAGATTTTTATTGTCAGGCCCTATCGCCCAGCCCAATGTGAAAACAAGCCAAGACATGTTGATTTGCAACGGTTTGTCAAAGCAGAAAAAATTGACTTTCAGTCAGTATCATCCATACTATTACGAGGACCACCTAATTGCGTTTGGTCCGCACCAAACACGCTGACCTTTACCAAGGACTGTAAAAATTAGCCCCGATTGAAGGGCAGTCTTAATTTGAGCCTTCCTGGTCCTGCTAACTTTCCAAAGGTGTAGCTGCACTCGATGTCGTTGACCTTTTTAAGAAAGGCCGAAGAGAAACGGCAAAGCTGTGAACAAGGTGTCATGGCTGATGGCATCTTGTTAAAAAGATGCGAGGAAAAAAAACCCAAACCCAAAACGCCCCTTTCTGAGGAGGAGGTACTGAGACACAGTGGTGGTCGGCAAAGAGCTCTTACTCATCCTCGTTACTTCCTGTCAAAACAAACAAACTATACATAGATGATTCTTCCTCCCAGCGATGTTGCCCGAGTCCCAGCAATTGCTTGGACTGCAAAATTGTGCTTAGGAGTTGATGTCCCAGAAGTATTAAGGCTTTGAAAATCTCAATACCAGACTTTTCCTTTTTTTTTTTTTTTCTTTTCCAAAACTACCAATGAGATGCAAGAAGTGATGCAAGATGCCTGATGAACGAGCAGTAGTAAAGCTTCACATATCCACAAAGAAGCACAATCTAAGTCAAAATATCGAAAGAAACGGTCATAACAATCGGCCTGGTATTGATTTTTGTTTTCAACCCCATTGGATATGTTTAGCTTTTACAGTGCGGGAGGGATGGTTCACAAAGAGTGGTCGTCATCAGTGGTCCTAATGCACGCTCATCCCCGATGTTCGCCCAGGATGACAATCAAGACCCACGTAGTGAAAAAATAAAAATAAAAAAATCAAAAAGGTTGATAACCGGCGGATATTAATTGCTTTAACCGTAAATATTATCCTAAACTATAATCGCAAATCACTTTCAGATCATTTCAAAGTCGTCATTATTTTCAAACGAATCCACCGAGGTGATACATCTCGACTGAGAAGATCTTTGTATGTTGTGCAGGAGCTAAGTTTAGTCTGGGTTGTTACCGGAGAGTCTTCGTCACATCTTTTTTTTTTTTTTTTTTTTTTAAGGGTAATGCTTTAAGATTTACAGTTTAAACAATTAATATGTATGGGCAATTATAAATATTTTTAGGAGGGTGCGTCAATCGCATTTTACTTTTGTGTGTGTGTGTGTGTGTGTGTGTGTGTGTGTGTGTGTGTGCGTGTGTGTGTGTGTGTGTGTGTGTGTGTGTGTGTTACATGTCTTAAAAGTAACTTGAACTTCCTTCGGCAGGGTTCTGTCCGCCGTTCCTCTACGAACAGCACGGGTCTACCTTAGCTAGCCTGAACTGTTATGGGGGACATTCACGGTAGTTTGGAGATGGAAGAAAAATTCCAATGATTGCATTTTTTATTTTTTGGTACTGATTCCAATGTGGCCAAAAGCTTTGAAGACAGGGATTCCCAAACGTTTTGATGTCCTGGGACACAAGTTTTCCCCAAGGACCCCGCATAATCCTAATCATATTTATTGGTTCATGTCATATGAATTGTAAAAAGTTATCCATACATGAGTTAGAATCATATAAAAACAAATTCAGATTAAAAAAAAAAATGTTGCATTAGTACGAGAATAAATTTAGATTTTCAAGAAAGAAATGTTTCGATCTTTGCAAGAAGAGAGACATTTTGTCTGTGTGAAAATTTCCAGTAAGACATATTTTGACAAGCGAATTTCAAAAAAGATACAATTTTTACTTCAGGAATACTATTCATTTCATTCTAGAAAAGGTCCCTGTAGTCTGGAAAAAAAAAAGTATTGGATTATATTATTATCTTTTATTTGGCCAAAGCGATGGTAAGGAGGAGTAATTAGTTGTTTGTTTTAGTGACACATTGATTTCCACATGGATGTACGTCCTGAAATACAATATGCCGTAATTTATTGCAAATTATTCCCCGGTTTGAGAACCACAATCTGAAGCGATACCTCACGCCGGTATACTTTGTGAACCAAACCTCCCGCATATCCTCTAACTGGGAGTCATTTAAGGATACGTGGTTAGCGCTAGCTGCGGTTAATGAAGCCAAAGGGCGGCCATGGCGAGCAGCAGCGACGGCCCCATGGTCGAGGCCAGCGAGGCGGCCAACAGCCGGCCGTGGCTGACCACCTTGAACGAGATGACCTCCACCTTGAACCCGTCCTCGGTGGCCATGCAGCGGAAGACGCCTTCCCTCAGGGGCGTGTCCACTGCCGGCCCCAAGACGCAGAAGTCGCCGGAGAAGAGGCAAGGGTAGTTCTTGACACAGTTGTCCTTTTCCCAGCGGTAGGTGGCGTGGAAGGAACGCACCGGGCAGGGCAGGAAGATGGAGGTGTTGGACGGCACCGACACTTGCCTGGGGGAGGTGCGACGCAGCTTGAGGGCTGTTGGAGAACAGTTGGAGAAAAAGGTCTACTGTGCTCACTTCTTGCGATGGATTAACCTATGAGTCATGAAGTGTGAAATTACCAGAGGTGGGAGAATAAGAATGTTTCGAGTTTTGACCTTTCAAAAATCAATCTGTTTGAGCAACTCAAATGGAGTGTCCACTAAATTTTCAGCGAGTCGTGGTTTGGGATTAATCAGGTCAAAAATAAAGTCATCTATCTATCTATCTATCTATAGATAGATAGATAGATAAAATTTGATATTATTCCCAAACCAATGTCTCTATTTTCATGACTGTATGTCAATTGAACGCATGAGCAGCTTTTAGTTTGTAAATTTAACATTTCACATGATCGTGTTGCCATTTTTCTTTTTTACCGATTTTTTTTTTTTTTTTTTTTTTAAATCAAAAATGTAATCCATGAATCCAAATCTAATAATCTTCAAAGCTCCCTCTATGGTACTTGCTTCGTGAGGTTTGCTTACGCACCCATAAACAAATAAATAAATAAATACAAATAAAGCATCTTTCAAAATCACACCATCTTGAAAATGTCGGTGTTCAAAATCAAAAGGGCATAAAAGTGCTGTAAATCCAGGTCCTTGGAATATTTTGACATGTCACACTCGTGTTCTTAAGACACCTGGTCATTGATGGCTGTTTGAACACGCTCTATAAATACATTTCAGTTGAGTTGTTTTAACCCTTTCATGCACCCTGCAAACCGGTAACATGATAAGCCGTCCACGGTAGTAACCGCTGTCCCTGAAAAGGGTTAAACTATCCCAACAAATGCAGAGTATGTCGTTGATACTTTATAAATGGTAGCTCCACCTACACATTTCATATGACTGACAGCTGAACGCCTACGCGCCGCCAACTCAATGCTTTTTTTAAAATCGTTCGTACTTATCACCTGAAAACAGAAGCAATATTTTTCCCTTCAGCTCAAACAATGGTGTCCTATTTGTAAGGGCAGCTCATTAATTGCTGAGCCTGCTCCGAACAGGCTTTTCAGGCGTAATAAAGTCATTGAGTTGAGGAAGAAGAAAAAAAAAAAAGCCTGTAAAGCAATTAAAGTGTCTCGGCTGCATAAATCCAAAGACTGCACCAGTCACGGAGGCTGCACTGCACGAATTTACAACAGGAGGACCGGAAGCCGTCAATAAAATGTTGTTGTAAAACGGTGAAATAAGAATAACACAACAAACTTGAAGTAAGATTAAAAACTGATTTACGAGAAGCGACAGTCGGCGTCGTTACTGTAAGAGTCTCCTTTATAGACGTGAAACTTAGGATATGAGCAGGGCGATGCTTGTCACCACCATTTGGAGGTTATAGTTGCATTGCGGACTCGAACGTTGGCTTTCATGGAAGAAATGATCCCGCCTGCAGGTTTTTTGCGCACTCGGCTCAATTAAGTGATAGTCATCTTTGGACCGCTGGTTTAATTAAGATACAGAGAGCATTTGAGGGCAGATCAAGGGCTCACCAGCAGCCTCCCCGCAAACCGACGAGTTGGATTGGTCCAGATTCTGAATGAGCATCCTGTTAGGAGAGAAGACACAGAGGACAGATTGCTCTTAAAGACTCTCGCCAAGCAATTAGGAGCCTGCAAGTGTACTTTAGAAGTCCAATAAAGCATGCAAATGATACAACTGCGTCCAAAATTTGCTTATCGCTGTCTTTCATAACAGGAAAACCCTCGTAAAGTGCTGCATGGACATTTTAAATATGGACTCGAAGAAGGAGAGCAGAAGAAACGGTCGCGATAGGGTTGAGGAATACTGGTGGAGTCAAAGCTTCATTTGATTTGGATGAATTCTACTCGACATTTAGTGAACGTTTAAAAATTTGGAGGAGTCCGATTCTCAATGCGGACTAACCTGACTTTCCGCCGGCAATGCGAATAGAACTCCGGCACTGGATGTACAGGGACTGAGCAACCCGTCCCACAAAGTTCTGGAACTCATATTCCCGAAGCAACCCCCGACACAATCTTCTGTTTTTGATGGAGTTACGCAAGCTCTCGGGCTGGGAAATGCATCCGCTTTATTGATTTATTTCAGTTTAGCCGAGCCATCCAGTTTGCTCATTGTTTTCTGTTGAACAGTTTGGCCATTAAAATATTCATGAATTAATTCAAGATGCTGATGGGCGGCTCGGTGGTCGACCGGTTAGCGTGTCGGCCTCAAAGCGCAGAGTTGGAGGGTTCGATTTTCGGCTGTGGCCTTCCTGTGTGGTGTTTGCATGTTCTCCACGTGACTGCGTGGGTTTTCTCTGGGTGCTCCGGTTTCCTCCCACTTTCTAAAAACATGCATGGTAGGTTAGTGGAACACTCTAAATTGTCCGTAGGTGTGAGTGTGAGCACGGATGTGAAGTGATTTGAGTCACTTCAAATTGGAAATTGATTTGGGGGAGGATTTTATTTGAAGGCCAAATTGCCCAGCCTTTGCTAAAAACAAGTCATAACTCTAGCGAAAATCTGTCGGAAAAAAAACATTTCTTGACCATAAGCGCGGCAGCACCTGAACGTGTCTTCTTGCGAAGATTCCATTCAACCATTGCGACTCGTTATAGAGTGATACTCTTGTCCTAACATACCCCGACGTGACGTTATATCCTGGCGGGATGGCGATGCACCTCCTCCTTGCCTTGTCCCAGCCGCAATACGGGTCCCGGGAGAGGATGCACTCGCGGCACGTGTCGCCATAGCGACCGCAGTCGGCCAGCGGCAGCCGTTGGACCTCCATCGCCGTGGCAACGTACAAGTGACCCTACGGCAAATATGCAGCTTCCTTTTACAACCGGCATTCGATCGCTTTGGGGATTGAATTGGCTTTCCAATCAAGATAAGAGCCGCCTTGTTTTCAGACGGGCATCCCGGCTCAATTTTTCGCCTGGTTTTTAATGGTTGCTCTGTGAAATCTAGAATGGAATACCAAGTGGCCTCATCCATCTCGATTCAGAGCATAAATTATTGATTCACAAGACATGAGAGCGCCGTGGTGTTCTGCGTACCTTTTGGGGGTTGATGGCCATGTTGAGGACAGGCCCCTCATTGCGAAACATGGAATACTGGGAGATGATAAACACCCCATCGCTGCTGTGAAGAACTTTAAGCACTTTTCCTTGTTCTGTTGGCAAAGACAAAGCGCGGACAGAATCAGAATTCTTTGGACCGCTTCCATTCGTAGGAGGGCTGCTGGGTCAAAATGAAGAAACCACACCAAAAAAAGGAAGAAACTGAGCTTCTCATATTGGAATGTCAGTTTATCTTTTCAGGTTGGGCAATGAAACGTGTAAATCGCTGGTAAAAATGTGGAATATTGAGAGACCGTATTAGGAACTTGTCTTTCCTTATATGGTTTGTCAGCTCAAACAGCCTTAAATATATAAAACCACATCTAAATTTATTAATATGTACTTTTAAAAATATGTCATAACACAAAGGTGTCAAACACAAGGCCTGGGGGCCATATGTGGTCCGCCACATCATTTTAAGTGGCCCGCGAAAGCAAATCAAAGATGACAACTTCCATGATGCTTGCTAAAATCTGTACCAACATTTCACATTTTCACATGTAATAAATCAGTGACATATTGTCAGCATTTTCTTGTTACCAAACCCCTCATTAGAGTTACTTAACCACAACGTTTTTCTTGACTTCTTTATATAGTTTCAGCCCCTCCAAGGCAATCGGTCATTATAACGTGGCCCGCGACAGAAATGAGTTTGACGCCCCTGCCTTCACACCTCCTCCTCACTCTCTTGCTGTGAAGAAGTCATATAACATCACTTCAAGGAAACAGAAAGAAGACTCCTTCGCTCGCACAGTTCTCCAAATCAATGCTGTGGCAGTATTGGTCAGTGTGAATTGAAGTTCATTGTCAAACACTCACGCCAATCAAAAGAAAAGTCAAAAGATAATTGATATGTTCACACCTAAATGTTCGACCAAACCATGTAAGAATAGCACATAGCATCTATTCTCTCTGCTCTGTGTAAGCAACGACAACAACAATTTACCGAATTCTATAGCTTAACCCTTTCAGGGACAACGGCCACTGCAGTGGACACTTTATCGTGTTATCAGGTTGCAGCGTGCATGAAAAGGTTAAATTCGGACTTGCTTGTTTACTGTAAAACCTCCGCAATGGAAATCTGTGATGAACCCGATTTGGCTTCAACCTGCCTGAAATGCCAGCACAGAGACAGAAAGTGACCCAGTTTCTGATGGCACTGATGACGAGAAAAAAAGATTAGTGGTGATGTTTTTTTTTTTTTTTTTTATATATATCAATGGATTTTCGTCTTGGAGATTTGTAGCGGTCTGACAAATAATCCCAGAGGGAATATTTGTGTAGTGCAATGAGGCCTTTCATCACATCGCCAGCACGGTTCTTATTTTGCGGCCCGAACTTCTTGTCCTCAAACTTAAAAAAAAAACAAAAAAAAACTCCTTTGTCTAAGATAACGTGACGCATTTCATCCGGTTTATTCTATGAGATGGTCTATTTCCAGCTCTGCTATCAAGAAAGTGGATCAGCACCAACATGGCAGCAGCAGCAGCAGCGGGCAGGCAGGCAGGCAGGCGGCACTGCAGGTTGAAAACGGGTGACAGTGCAGAACTTCAGCTGCTGAGTGGACACATTCGTTTTTGTCCAACAACAATCTTTATTGGAAAGCTTGCACACTTTGGAGAAAAGGCCAAAAAGTTGTGTTTGGGTTTAGCTTGGACAAGCGTTTCAGACACATCAGTATTTGTATACCCAAAGTCACTACTTCATAATAAGTCGTCTTTAAAGCTGCTTGGTCCTTTTTATGTGTGACTTATACTGGGAATTTAAACCTGTGAAGGTATCATGTCTTGTCTTTAGGGTGGTAGACTCATCAGCAAAACTATGGCTAACCGCTAATGCTAGTTTCTAGCCAACGTCATGAGCAGAGCGGACCGGAGAAGAGGGGGAAACTTGGCTAGGATGACTAATAACCCTGTAAATGCGGGCCGCTCATTTAGGTGAGCGCCATGGGAGCATTTTGACTACTAATAAAGACGGAAATCGCATAGTCGGCAAGAATCAGCTGTGTTTGGCGTAAGTGCTTACAAAAAAAAACAAAAAACGTTCCTGGGTCACATCAAACGTCTTCACGCGCCTTGAAAAATGTCAACAGCAGGGCGATGGGGGCTTTGGTGGTGATTCGAGTCTTGGATAGTATGTCCAAAATTAGCGACAAAATTAATTGGACTGCATCAGTCATTTTTATATGGTTCAGAATCTTCCCAGTTTTTCCGTTGAGAGCCGATTCTGTGGAATTCTTCTCCCTTTTCCGGCTATAATGTGGAGCCGTGCTAATGATTTTGTTTCATTTTCTTTGTGTGCGTGGCTATTGATGTCAAGAAGCTCTCCAAAGGGTAGTCGAGATGAAGATTTGCACGAGGCTTCACGCTTTGTGAGTGGAAAGTACAACCGTGATGTTTTTTGACATGGAAAAGGTAGAAGCAGTTGCCTTGGAGTCCAAGGATCAGCCCCATCAGTGTTGATTGAATCTTGAGGGACACAAATGGTCTCCCACTGTGATCATGTTTCTGACGGTGTGGCTGCTTGCCGCTTTGGTTCAATTTCTTATTTGCCGCCTAGTCGTCCTCGTATACGCAATTGTTCGCGAGCCTCTGTGAAAAGGCACAAGCGATGTCATCCATGCCGAGAGTCGAGATGGCAGCGCTCTCATCCTTCTTCAGACGTCATTGTGCTCTATTTTCTTTTTCCGGCCATCAGGCCGTGCCCCTCCTGTTGCTGCCGCACTTCATTTCGCTGACAGTGAGAGGCCGTTGCGCATCTCTCTCTCAATTGTTTTCTCTTTTGCTATTTTTAGCTTCAACCGAGTCGCTCATGTTGGACTGACGGCCCCGTGAATTTGTTTGCAGAGACTCTAAGCCGATAGATGTGACATCTCCTGTGAACACGAGCGCAGCGAGAGAGTCGTGCACACGCAAGACTTATGATGGTTGCCATGGTGATCTCCCTCAGGCCCTCGGCAATTTTCGGAGGACCTTCTCAGAGCGATGGCAGCTGGGCGGCGTGCGTGTTTGATTGCATCGAAATCAAATATCTCACCGCTCATGGTCGCAACTGATATGTGGAAGCTTTATGAACAATGTCATGGGCAAAGATGACTTATTAATTCAAAGAATTGGGCTGTTCTTCCCACATTTAGTCTGTGTTGTTGTAAATATGGGGCGGCACGGTGGGCAACTGGTTAGCATGTCGGCCTCACGGTGCAGAGGAGCAGGGTTCGATTCCGGCTCTGACTTTCCTGTGTGGAGTTTTTGCATGTTCTCCCCGTGCTTATGTGGGTTTTCTCCGGGTACTCCGGTTTCCTCCCATAAAAATAAGCACGGCAGGCTAATGGAACACTCTCAATTGTCCCCTGGGTGTGATTGTGAGCACGAATGGTTATTCGTCTATGTGTGTCCTGTGATTGTCTGGCAACCTGTTCAGGGCTCCAGCACGCCCTGCGACCCTCGTGACGATAAGCGTATTGGAAAACGGATGGGTGTTTTCAGTACGCGAACCTGAGTGGGATTGTTTTGTTCCTTGTTGCAAACAAAAAAAAGCAATCTTGAATCAGTGCCAGCTACTACATAACCTTTCACACCCAGCTGGTAGCACTGGCAGTTGGTTGCTGGTGTTTGACCCGGGGCTTAGTTTGTCTCCATTTGGCTTCGCGCTGCCTTATTCACATTCCAGGGACAAGAATTGACTGGCTTTTTGTCGAAAAATGGCAGTTCAATATCAGCGTCAACGATCAGTTTTGCCAGATCACCGTGGCTGCTTTTCCAGTCAAAGATGAAAGAATCTGATCTCATTTTGACTGGCTCACACTTGGACCAGTGTGAGAAGACTATTATTCTCCCAAAAGTCAACAACTAGCAGAATAGCGAGTTTACCTGTTCCGAGATAAAGGACACTGTAGTGCTCGTCGTTGACAGCCAGGACGATGTCCGCAACAGTATGTGTGATTTGGTCGTCCGTCGGCAGGTCCAGCGGGGCGACGCCCACCGGCCGGATCACGTCCTCGATTTCCGGGTGGTATCGGATCACGCCCAGGTTTTTGAGGTCATTTCCTGCCGAGGAATTCTTTCGACCGCACTGTGAGGAGAAGTGACGGATTCAGAACCGGTCGGAGTGGAAGGATGCCAATTATGTATAGCCCTCATCAGAACGACTATCTACTCAATCGTTTACTGTATATTCAGTACACGGTGGCACCCGGTTCGTCAAGGGTTTGTCACTGGGGATTCCCCTATTCACGGAATTTCAAAAAATGATTCTTCAAGAATGTTTGGAATTGAAAAACATGTCACTGCAATTATAATGGGAAAAATTCTTTGCTGGGTTTTTGCTATTGGTACTTGGGCCTGGTCTCGATCCCCATGAATCGCCCTGGTCCACTGTATTGTAAACCATAATTTGATCCTAACCCAGGCTTTAATCCCAATGAATCTGTCACTTGAAACACGAGCCTTGGTTTAAAAGCATAAATCCTTAACCTCCCGCCAAGCAATTCTGATTACCGCACTGCGAGAAAAAGGACTGAATGACGACCAGCTGGAACGGAAGGAGAACTGGACCCCGGGCGAGTAGTTCAACCGCATGTCCTTACCATCCCGGGTCGATTTCCAATGAAGGAGTTGCTGTAGCCTTTCAGCTTGGACGTGGAGAAGGCCTGGTCGATGTCTTCAATGGAGTAGGCGCAGATCACAGTTCTGCCCCTGGAAATGAAGGCCCACAAGTTATATTGGCGGAACGGATTACGGTTCTACGGTTCTGGTACAGAGTGACTGATTGACAGACGATCAAACATGCCAGAGAGTCAGTTGGCATTGCAGCTCACCAGGCGTTGGAAAAGAGGCCATACATGACACCGGCCCGTTTGTCCTCTGCGGTCAGAACCACTGCCTGCTTCATGCTGTTGTACTGCTGCTGAGTGTTTCCGGCACCGCACATGACCCGCGCCTTCATGAAGGTGGTCCACGAGTCGGCCAGCAGGTTCTTGATCCCGCCCTCGTCCACCTATGGAATGTGCGGGGTTCACTAAATGATGACTTTCGTGACGAATTTCGTCTCATAAGATCGCAATTGTTACTTCGGCAAATTGTGTCTTTGGTCTGACCTTGGGTTCTGAAAGATTCTGACCTATGACATGTAGAAATATACATGATAGTTTGGCTCATGAGGGGGGGATCCTTGAAACATTTTTTTCCTCTTGATCCAAAAGCTTTGACAACCTCATTCCAGAATATTCCAAAGGACTCATGCGACGGAGGGTCTGATTGGGCGCTGGGATCTGTGTGTCCTTACCGTGCAGATACGGCCGATGCGGGCCCGGTATGGCTCCTCGTCCACTCGGGCGGTCTTGTTGATCTCGCTGAAGAAGAAATAGATCTCCTCCTTATACTTGAGGGTAGACGGGATGATGGCGGCTCCAGCAAACTGAGGGTCTGAGTGGCGAGATGTCAACATGAGACGCCGACCGAAACCAAAACAGAAACTGTTTGGGTTTTAAAACCAGTTCGAAAACATAACACTGGCATTGAAACTCTTTCCAAGGCCTTCAACCTGAACTTGAAATCCCAACCGTGCTTTGCAACTGTCACCTTTGTTTCAGACCCAAATGCCGTCTTAAACCCTGACCCTTTTTAAAATCTCAAAACTAACATTAGCAGAATCTTGGAATAGCATTTTGAAACCCCAACTCTAGAACCCAACGCCGACATTATCACTTTCTTTTTGTGCGACTCACAATGTGAGATAACATCGCCACCCGAAACCTAAACATCATGATTTCCACATTCGCTTTGTTTCCGTGCCAAATCCTCCTACTTAACTCAGCAGCCAAACGTTCTCCGTCTTTAGGAGCTTCTGGGGCCCAAAGGTGCGGCGGATGGAGCCGACGTGACCGCCCACCGCCGACATGGCTGAATACAGACTCCCATCTGAGGAGAATCGACAGCAGCGGGTAAGCAAAGGCCAAAATGGAGCCTGATGGATGACTGAGTGAAAGACGTGAATGCAGAGGAGAAAACATTAAACACAGAGCCAAGGCAGGAGCCCCGAGGGCTCAACGCAATAAAGATGAAGTGGCGGCGAAACGGAGCAGGAGGCTGAAAGCCACCAACACACGTCAGTCTCCTTTTCAGGTTCGTTTCCATAGCGATCGTCGTTAAACATGGAATAATTAAGACCTAATTAACTCAACCTCTGCTCTGCGGTATGTGGCAAGCACTGGATGATGTCATTCAACAAAAATCTCATACATTTTCATGTCGAGAGGTTACATTGAACTGAATTTGACCGAAAAGGTTGTCTAAGAGCGAAGGTTACCACATCAACTCATTCAGATCCCTGCAGAGTAAAAAAAACAGGACAGACAAGAGTCTTGTTACCAACCCTGGTAAATTTGGATCATTTAAAAACGATATATATGGTTGTCAAATGACGTTTCAAAATCATGAAAAGTAAAGTTCTTGTCTTAGCTCTGGAATGCTGTGGGTGTGTCCTCTGAATGCGTCAAAAATTCACTCGCCCCACGGACCTGTCAACTGTCAATCAAATACGACTGCTACGATCAAGAAAAATGATTGCGACTGTTTCTGGAATGTATCCCGCCGTATTATCACGGGTGTTTCGCTCACTGCGAAAATGAGGCGCTCCAAAGCGGTCACGCCGACGCGCAGTCCACACGCTGGCTCTCAAGTCGGATTTATGTCTTCCATGAGGGCCACTTCGTTGTTCAGTCCCCTTGATGTTGCTGAATAACGACATTTTTTTTCACCTCCGTAACATCTAAATCAGCCGATCGTTACATCATCAACAAAATCGATTTTACTACTCTGCCTCAACATTCCACGCTTGAAGTTAAGGCGCGAAATCAACTAATTGCTTCTCATCTGTTTTTAGCATCTCATTTTCCAATCGGCCAGAACTTTGGACTTGTCCGTCTGCTAACGTCACCGGATTATAACGCTCCGTGGAGCTGCGAAACGTCCAGCCAACGAGGCGACATACATAAGAACAAAAATAAGGCGTCGGTGGACGAGAATAGCGGTTAGCCTCGCTAGCTTCTGGCTACTCTTAAAATATTCACGCCGGTGGGATCTCGGGACTGGCGGCAGGGAACGAGGGCAGCGGTGCGAAATGGAACTCCGGCTTTGTCAACCCAAATTTTACGTCAACAATACTCAGCCAACATCTGTGCGCTAGTAGGAACTTTATTTGTCATTGAAGTGGTGTGACACAACACACAGCGTCATTGTTAATGCCTGTGTCATTCTTCGACACTGAACGTGTGGCCGTCTGGGTTCCAAAAGTATGCGGAATATGTTGTAACTCCAAAAAACTCCACCCTGGATTGGTTCCGAATTAATAGCATGGCGAACGATGTCATCGAAACAAAATCTCCGTCTAAATGTATCTTTCTTTTCCTAACAGGATTTTGTCCACTATATTTCGAATTGACCTGCCATGTTGCCGCAAGCTGCTGTTGCCTTCGTAAGCAGTTTGACGAAACATAGCTAAATTAAAACCGTTCTGCGCTGTTGTATACAAAGAAACCTTCACGGTATACTCTGGAAAAAGATCGTTTCAATCTTGTTCCATAACATTGTTCAGTTAATGTGTGGAAAATGATCCGCCTGGGGCACCGAGTAACGAAAATGTGTTGACTTGGTGAGACTGACGAAGAACAGCTGCGCTTTATTGGCTCCAGTGGATGAATGTCAACATTTTTACACGAGGCCGCGCGGGGTGACTGTGCTGCCGATGGCGTTTGGTGCTGCTCCGGCGCACACGCGCTGGTTTACCTGCGGGCAGGCTGATGGACTTTTGCGAGGGGTACGGCGGGGAGATGTCGGCGGGCGAAGCAATCTGCCCAACACCCTGGATGTCGGTCAGCACTGTGTCGTTAACCTGCACGTAGACACGTTTGACACTCAGGACCGGATCGTAGAATTCAAACCCGAAACTCAAACCACAACCCAGACTTGAAACATGAACGCCGGCTTTAACCCTTTCAGGGACAGTGGTTACAGTACGATAGTGGACAGTTTATCGGATTATCATGATTTGTGCATGAATGGGTTAATGATCACATGATCAGATTAGGACAACGTTTCCGAATCTGAAACCTGAACATCAAGCCCTAAATCAAGCTTGAAACACTATTTTGGAAAAGTAACTTGAAAATATATTTTGAAACCGTAACCCAAAATATATTTTGATACCGTAACCGAAAATATATTTTGATACCCTCACTTGAAGCCCTACTTCAGGTCTGAAACACTCAGCTGAAACACTCCTGCTTATTTGACACCTCAAGCCGGCCTTTCACCTAAGCCTTACTCTTACCCTGAAAATCGAACTCCCAACATCAACCCAGGCTTCAAACCCTAATTTAAAACATCGACCCTTATTAGAAATATGAACCAAGGCGATGAAACGTATTTTTCAACCCTAACCTGAAACCCCTACCCTGGCTTTAAAACCTAATTTAAAATAACCACGCCTTGTTTGATCAGGTTGCAACCAAAATACAAAGAGACCAGAAGAGTCACAAAAAGGCATAAAAGATGCCGTACTTGGAAATGTATTGTGCATTTTTTTTTCAACCACAAAAAGTGGGTCAGGACGTTTAGCTCGCATTCATGTTTGGTGTACCGCTCACCAGCATCCAGCAGCGAGGACTGCCAGCATTTGTCCCGCACACGATGAAGGTGTCGTTGACTTTCTCAATGACCGTGATGAAGTTGTCGCACTCCAGCTGCGAGGTAAACAGATGACAAAAGTGAGACGAGGAAACCACGGCTGAAGTACGAGCCTGAAGAGAGGCGAGGGTGCAAACATGAGACGAGATCCACAGAGGGATGGCTGGATTGGATCACTATGCTGTGATTATGTTCCATTCAATCATCCATCCATATATTTCGCACGATAAGGCGCACCTAAAAGCATTCCATTTTCTCAAAAGCCGACCGTGCGCCTTATAATCCGATGCGCCTTATACATGGATCAATATTCTGATTAATTAGATGTAGAATTTTAAATCTTCTGTCAAGCGCTTTGTTACAGCTGCAGCGGTTGTGAAACTTCGATATGAATAAAGCTGTATTGTATTGTATAATTGCTTTAGGGTAGCTCCATCTGGTGGATGCATAACGCAACCGCAGCCACTATTGTAGCTTCGATTCTGTGCGTCTAGAAAATTTTGTAAGTAGACATGTTTTCCATGTAAATGCCCTAATCGATTGCCCTATTTGTTTCTTGAAAATTCTGTAAGACAGTGAGTTGCCCAAAAATCCCCCCCTCCCCATCAGTAACCCCCCCCCCCAAAAAAAAAAAAAACTGATATCAACATCCCCCTTGGCAGGGTTCGCTGGATTCCAGCAACTGATGACATCATTTGCGAGCTTGATCGATTTCCATCTTGGCAGTGATTAAAGCATGCGAGTAAAACGTGTCACAAAGCTCGGACCGACAAAGGTGGTGATGATGATGATGGTGGTGAAGATGATTGCAGATGATGAAGATGCACTTTGAAGGCTGGTTGGACAGTCAGACTCGAGAGAGCGCTTCTACCTCGAGGGGCGCCGCCTTAGCCTTGCAGGTGTCGATGGCTGTCTGGTCTGACGGCGCCGGAATCTATTGGGAGAGCTCCTGAGTTAGTAAAGCACTCTATTTTCATCAATACTTGGAGTGGCTCACAATTGTTTGATATCAAAGCCTTTTGAGTATGTATTCGATATCCTTCATACACGTCTTACGGATGCAAAGGATGAACCGCAAAATCGCGGTTATCTCCCCAGAATGTAAGCACAACATTGTGGAGCGATGACCTGTCTGAGTCAAAGTGAATTAATCATAAATAAATCCACAAATACCTGCACGTCACGTACGCCTCTGTTGCTGAAAGTGAGGACGTAGATGACAGCCTGGCCGCCCACGTAGAGCGTGTCGCTGCCCTCTTGGTGATACATGCTGATGTAATTCTCGGGCTTGTCAAAGTGGAAGCGAGACGGTTCTGGGGGAGTCGGGACAACGGCACGTCAGACAAAAGCTTCTGTCCAGGGCAAACGTTATTCAACTATCATTGTAGCGGAGCAGCTATTGTGAGTAACGCGGTATAATGGACAATGAATATAACATTCAGAAAATATTACAGAGCGTTTGAATTCATTCCCTGATCAAGCTCTTCATTTACTCACAGTCAAATCAAAGGGATCCCATTGAAATGAATTGTAAGGCCAGTAATCCGTTCAGAGTCACCCCCAAAAAACCACCACATTCAAAACACAACAAAATACATCATGAAGGAAACTGGTTTCATAAAGTGGAATTATAGTACGGACTGTTTGCACGTGTTTTGGATGTCTACCTGTTGGGGGCGTGGCCCAGTCAGGAGTGGAATTTGGTTCATTTGCGTGTGGATGTGAGTTGAACTCTTTCCACTTAACTTCCTGCCTATTTTTATCCAAGAGAAATTAAGACCCATCCCAAATGGTCAAAACATCTTCGAAACAGAAATGTCACACTGAGCTTCTGCGCCTATGACTCGGAAGATAGGCTGGGTGAACATCTGCAATTTTCAAGCCAAGCAATTCCATTGTCTCTGTCATTTGCATTTTTGTTTGGCAGTGTGTCTGCTGCATGCGCCACACATGAACTAACAAATGTATGAAGTGCTGCCTTCAGCAGTGAAAATCGTTTCTTTTCACACCACTCTGTGGGCTCCACAGTTTGGCAAGTAGTACCCACTTGCCTAGATGCAACACCCTACAATGTAAGACATGTCTCTCGGGATGAATTTAAAAAAAAATAAACTGAATCGGAAAACCGATTATGATTTAAATGGTCTGCGCATGGAATTGCACCATAAGAGATCGATCTTTCCACTTTAAAATATATTAAGATATCTATTGAATCGACATTTATGAGAGCCATCTCTTCTGAAATTCTCCCATACCATATTGAATCGAATAGTATTTCCATTGAATCGAAGCGAATCGAATCGTTCCATTTCTAAAGTCAGATCTACTCGTCTGCTTTAAAGCTAAGCTTCCAAAACTTTTTTTCAGACATGTCTCTCGGGATGAATTGAAAAAAAAAAACTGAATCGGAAAACCGATTATGATTTAAATGGTCTGCGCATGGAATTGCACCATAAGAGATCGATCTTTCCACTTTAAAATATATTAAGATATGTATTGAATCGACTTTTATGAGAGCCATCTCTTCTCAAATTCTCCCATACCATATTGAATCGAATGGTAATTCCATTGAATCGAAGCGAATCGAATCGTTCATTTCTAACGTCAGATCTACACGTCTGCTTTAAAGCTAAGCTTCCAAAACTTTTTTTTTTTTTTTTTAACTTAAAGTAGATTTTGGTCGATGTAATCTGCTCAGAATCATTTAAATATGTGTTGAAATACGATTGTACTTTTCGGAGTGCTGTAAAAGATGGCAATAACATGTTTTATGATTTTATGGGGTGAATTATGCCTGCCCTTGTCGATTAACACTTCAAAGAGATAAGCAGGAGAATGAATGTTGTACTTGTGAGCTGTGATTGTTGTGGATTCATTAAAAATGTACAATGGCGCGAGGTCCTCACAGGAGCGTTTCAGCAGTTAATGAGATTCTCAAGAAAAACACGTAATTACACCGGGAGGACGGCAAAGAAAAGAAAGATCTTTTCTTTAAAAACAACAAAAGCGGAAATATACGGTCTGGGGGCTCCATTGTGGCCACAATCTAGATTTCTTGTGTGTATAAAAGGTTTAATATGTGGCCACAAAATACCAAATTATGTCGAAGAAATACGTAGGCCATGACCAGGAAATATTCTTTTGTGTGTTCATCGTCCCCATAAGGCACTCGTCTGCGGCTCCGTAGTGACGTCGTCCTGTAAATGTGTCCTTTCTTCACCACGCATTTCACTGACAGAATCTTCTACAGATGCACTTTGCCACATTAAAAAAAGTAGCCAGTGTCCATCTTACATATCGGTGAGCACCGTTCCCACACCATAACTCATCCTGCTGTTAATATCGAAACAGCGGGCAACAAAAGTGAGTACACTCCTCAGTGAAAATTTGACATTTAATGGCAGGACGATCTGTTTCTATTCATTTTATCGTCCTAATATACAGCCGTGCAATTTTTTTTTTCTTAAATTCGGCTGGACCGCCTCCTCAGCTGGTCAAGTGAGGATTGAAAGCCTCTTCGA